GATCAGTTCATTTATTCTCTCAGTATGGTGCACAGCTGGGGTATTTCAGATATGATAAGATCCGTGAAGCTAAATTTCATGTCTGCTCTGTTGGAATATTTACTTCACATCTGAAATGCCTCTTATAGAGCTTAATAGAATCAGAATCAGAATCAGAATCAGAATGAGTTTTTATTGCCAGGTATGTTTACACATACGAGGAATTTGTTTTCATGACAGAAGCTCCACAGTGTAACAGAATGACAGCGACAGAACAAAAACACAGATAATAAAAAATTCCAAATAAAACACAAATCCACAAGAGACACGCGGTAGAATTACTGATTAACATGAAGTTCGCAGTCATAGAAGTCATAAGGTTAAAATCACAAAAAAATTAAACAATTGTAAAAAATTACAATTCAATTTGTATTCAAATGGCACATAAAACTAATATAGCAGTAATCCATACGTCTCGTGCTCATTATTCCAAGTCTCCAGAAGCCATACGATAGCATTGTGTGAAATTTCAGTTGTTAATAACTAAAAATAAAACAAAAAGTTTGAATGTGGTGTGCAAGCAAGAACATGTGTTTGTTTACACACGTGAGGTGTTTGTGAACTTGTTAAACACCATATAAGGAGAAAGAAGGCGGAGCATAAGAAAGGCTCTTGTGTGTATCGCCAAAGCGGTAGAGTTTAATGTGTGAGAATTTGTCATTTTGTCTAGGTGGCTCAACTCACACAACTACCATTAAAATATTGGATTAGCACTAGTGAAAATATTTCCATAACCATCTTCCAGAGAGAGAGATGCACAAGATTGAAATTACAGGAGTTTATCATAATTTTCAAAAATTAACTCCTTTAAAAAGTGTAAATGTGTTTTATGATGTAAAATAAAATACATTTTATGAGTTGATTTAACTGTTTCTGCAATAAACACTTACATGGGGAACCTGCTCCATGTGTTGCACAGGGATAGTCATGTAGTGTTGTGTGTTACAAGTCCCTCTTCACAACTCTTTTCTTGTTAAATTTGATCTCTAAGAACTTGCACAGAGCTTCCAGTGAATGGCTGTAAGCCAGTGTACATCAAGAGTGTTCCTTGGCTGTCAAATCAATGAGAACAGTTCTTGACATGAAAGTCACAAGAGAGTACGTTTTCCTCTGAATTTGGGCCTTTTGGCCTCCAGTGTTGAGTACAAACAGCAAGGTACAGCAAGCTGCACTCCATCAGTCATTTTTACAGCTTTGTGTAAGACTATGCAGAGCAATAAGTCTTACACATTTGTGTTATTGACCTTACAGCCATTGATTCGCTCCACACTCTACTACTACTACACAATAAACTTCCTGATGTGCCCATCATGGTTACATGTTTTGGTATGAGAAAACAGTAGGGGCGTTTTAACATACTTTTATGGCAATTTGTGTCTGTTTTGCATTTTGGTAAATTGGTTGCCAAATTTATGGTATGTTTACACAACAATGATGTACTAAACACTGCGTTTTTGAAAAGTTTTGCATACAGAAGAAAATGTGCACACGGATCACATGGATCCCTGAAAACAACTAAAAATGCTGTATGCTGGTCTTGTAGTTGGCAATGCTACTTTAGTAAAGAAACATTACAAGCCTGTGCATATACCTAGACTGAGCTTATAATAAGCTTGCGTATGAAGTCACTGTTTTCACAAATCACAAATTCAAAAAAACATTTTTGTAGTTTACATGGAGACAACGGTATCATTTCAGTTTTCAAAAGTTTGCGTTTTCAGGCCCCCAAAATGCCATGTAAATAAATGGCTCAAACGCATAAAAAGTTTACCATTTTTAGTTGAAAATGGTGTCTTGTAAATGCCCTCTTATATGAATTTGTACAATCTCATAAATGTTTTATACAATCTGCTTAAGGCCCACTGAATAAGAAATTGCCACCTTTGTAAAATAGTTTTCTCATGATATCAGGTTTGGTGTTTAGAAACACTTTTGTAAAACTCTCATGCAAGGGTTTTCTTCCATTATTCATTTAAGAGAGATATTTTGATAAGGTATATGCATCAAAATACATTAAACATACAGGGGTGTTTCTTTAGCTATATAAGCACTTTCTGTCTTTTGTTAATTTTTTAAAATAAAATAAAAACTTTCAATTTCTGTCATAATTTGTGTAAAAATTGATAGAAATCATTTTAATTAAAAACATGTATACATACAGTACACATTTCTATAGTGGATTTACATGTTTTAAGAAAAAAGGTGAAACATGTTTATAACCCAGGACAGCCCACAGAAACATCCATATTCACCTATACACTTTGTGCTAACAAGGTGACAGCTGTAATGTGCATTTTTAAGCAAGAAAAAAATTCAAGACCATAATAACATTCAGTGACAGCAAGAAGTAGAAGTACAGTTATTTACTTGTGTTTAAAAGGTCTGAAGCCCTATTATGAAACAGACCACAGCCGCTTCAGTATGATTTATGACTCGTTTGCTCTCGTAAAAACTCCTAATCCCAGCAATCATCCCCACGTGCAGGGATGTTTTGGCAGAGTCTTTGTGCACCGCTTGAGAGTCTTTCCTCCTCACAGCCTGTTCTTCCAGTGGATCTGTCACAACTGATAGAAGTCCAAATCAGACAGACAGTAGATAGATAGATAGATAGATAGATAGATAGATAGATAGATAGATAGATAGATAGATAGATAGATAGATTTTTTAATGATCATCTCTGGTGTTTTATTACTTAAATTCCTATATTCAAACAGCAATGCAGTAAAAACAGTGTTTCTTCAGTTCTCTAGCCAATGGCACAGCAGATGTACTTTTGACTTTCTCTGTTGGAGTCCATCTCTCAATACTGAAGCCGTCTAATGAAGAAGCTCCTGAACCCTGCAGGCATATCATTCATCACCCCACAAATCACTGTAAAACTACATGCTTACAGCCATGATGACTTTATGTCACATAAATGACTGGAATCAGGGACAGCATCTTGTTACACAGAAGGTGCTTCTCAGCTTCGCCTTCACTGCCATTACTTGCCTCCAAGTTAAGTTAGATAATATAATGTGGTCTTTGTGGTTCATTCAGAATATTTATAGAAATTACACTCAATTACAGGAATTCATAGTGAATAGAAAATAATATAGGCTACTCATAATCGCTAGTGTAAATGTTTTTGTTTTAATGTGTAATAATAATATTTTGTATAATAAAATAATTTTTACATTTTATTTGTATTACAGTAAATAATATTAAATATAAAATATTTTAGTAATACTATTCTATTTTATAATAATTTGTAAAAAAATATTTTGACTGGTCTGCAACAGCAACACTGACTCTACAATGGTGTGAGTCTGGGGTGGAGCTATTCTTTTTTGACCAATGGCAGGCAGGGGGAGTGTCTTTGGAAAATCCTGTTTAGAAACAGTGCTTCTTTTTGCAGTTCCATTCGTAATGGACTGTTTTATAAGATTATCCAGATCTGATTGGATTCTGGACTGTAACTATTGTATTGTACTCAAGCAAGTTTCTCCTAAGTCATCTCTCCAAACATGAGAAATCATGTTTACTCTGCAAAAATGTCCCCATGCTAAAGCACACGCATGAAGAATAATAGAACAAATGTGTGAATCTGCAAGTTCAGCCACAATACACAAGACTTTCTCTGTAGCAGATGTGTGGAGAAAGAAATGGCCTTTAATCTTGTCCTTATGCTGTAAGTGCAAGTCAGTTGTTGTTGGCTCACTGAAGATGAACTGAGATCCAATAGCATGACATTTCCACAAAGAACTGCTAAAGGAGATAGGCTGAAAGCTGGTAATAAGGTTACATAGAAATCACTAATATAAATAATAGCAATGGCAAAAAAGCAATGCAGGTTTACTTGCTGTTCCATAATGTAAATATCAACTTGAATATTAATGTTACATATTAAGTAGATTAAAGTCAAAGTGATTTTCATTACTCACAGATCTTTCGCCTGCTCTAATATTGCTGAGGAATGAAAAGGTTCAATGGATGTTTTCAAAACGTATGAGAACAAGGTAATGATTAATTGCCATTGAGTGTTATTTTAGTATCATTGAGATAAGCAGTTTTTATGAATATTTAGAATTTTTAAATTTTTTAGTTAAAATGTTGTTTTGTTAGTTTTTTATTACTTTTTATTTCAGTTGTATTTATTTTAGTATATAAAAAGATGGACTATGAAAGTGTGAAACTAGAAATAAAATACATTTGAGATTTTTATTTTATTTCCATTAACATTTTATTTATAGTGACAGAAATGTTTCTTTATGATTTTAGTTTTAGTGGATCATTTGGATAAATATTTGGTATGATTTAGCAGCTTCCACTTTAGATCAGTGCAAATAATGGACAGATTGGATGATAGTGTGTCGCATTCAGTTTGAAGAGTGTATATACACTATCTAAAACAACTTGTTTATCTTCCCAATGAAATCTGGGGATTCAGATTGTCTATATTAAGGAGCAAAGCTTTACTCCTTTCAAACACGAATACATCCATATGTCTTTATGTAAGGGCATGCATGCTGCTACATAATCCCCTACGTCAACGTACGCATTTCTTTGTTTTGGCATTCACTTCATGCAGTTTCTGACATGCTATTTATTTGAAAGCAAGAACATAAAGGGATTAACATTTTTAGCTCGTACTAAACTCAAGATGAATAGCAAATTGATAGCAGAATGTTTGGAGACTGAGAATCAGTAAATTCAAAGGTGACTTTGTTCTTACAGCGGTTGGTGATGACTATTATCATTAGGCTCATCATTAGCAGTCAATGGCATCATATTCATGAAGTATATGATGAGAATGACTGCTAATGATGGGCCTAAAAGTCACAGTGCAATGTCCCAGGACAGTTCACACTGCTGTTCAGTATTTTATATGATTCATCTGAAATAGTTGCACCACAGATTAAACAAAAAAAAACAAAAAACGTTTTTTGGAGATAAACAGTATAATCACAAGGTGCTATAAGCAGAAAATATTTAATTTTATTATTTAACTGCATTGAAGCTTATTTCAATGTGATGATTTGAATTTCTACAATTAAAAATCATTGAAAAAAATGTAGACGTGAACAAATTCCTAAAAAATGAACAGAAAATTAGAAACAGATGGAAAGTTACAAGCTGCATAATTTAAAGTGAACTCAACAGCCAAAGCTTTGCTGATCCTTAAACGCATTATAAAACGCATTCATGTCTATGAATGCAAGCACCACAAAATATCATGTGCACGACAAGCTCAATGTCAAGGCTCATACAGTATATATATTTAAAAAAGAACAATATAAACAGCTTAAAAAACAAACAAAAATGACCAATGTCTCTCTTTATAACTACCACCATTTCAAGAACCCCTTGAAGTGGGGTGTGTGCCACACAGATCCAAGATATTACTGCGTTGGTTTCTAATGTGTAAACATTCAATGCGGTTTGTAGTAAAAGTGTATTTGCAGGACAAACACACTGTTCGACAACACTGTCTTTCACTTTAGCTGGATCTTCAGGTACAGTGAGCCTCCATTCATCTCACTGTCTGGGTCTGGAGTGATGCCTGACCAGTCTCACTCTTCGCCTTGATCCTGTGTTTCAGTCCACAAACACACACATATAAACAAAGCTGATATAAACTACACATCTATGGTTAATTTTCCTCTTTGTATTATAAAGGTCTGGATTATGGTAAAGTTGGGTGTGAAGACAAAAGGTGCTATAGTTGTACTATACATGTTTTAAATCTCAATTGATATAAAAAAAATAGCAATAAAATTACTTTAAGAACACATCAAATGTAAATGAGCTGAAACACATACCTTGTGGTTGTCTGATGGCAGCTCGTTTTTTAGAACGGCCCTCTGAGATGAAAAATAACTCAATTAAACCTTGGGCATTAGATCCATCCTCATATTATGCACACAGAATTATGAAGCCACTAACCCTTGATGATTCTGGTGATTCTCTCTGATTCTGATACGAGGAGGTCTGGACTGTCCTTGAAAGATACAATCTTTGAGAAATCTGGTCCTAAAAGAATAAAAAAGAAATACAAAAAAATGAAAAAAGAAAGAAATTCAGCATGTATGCACATTTTTATATAATATTAAAGCAGATATGATCAGATATTTGATTTTTAAATATGATTTTTGTAATTATAATTAAAGTAGCTGAAACCAAATCAATCAATCAATCAATAAATCAATAATTGTATGCATAAAACTGTATAATGTACAGTAAGAAAAATTGATATTCATTTTTTTTAATTATTCGTGTTTTTGAAGATTGTAAAAATAGGTGAAATTATGCACAAATACAAATACAAACACACACACACACACACACACACACATACATCTCTAGAATCAGAAGTGTAAAATCATTTCTTACCTTCAATGATCTGCGGTTCTGGTTGAATCACTCTGGTAATAGTGGTTTCCCCTGGTGCAACTTTGAGCACAAAAAGATGAACATTTGATTTGGTCTGAAAATTTTAAGCAAATCATATCACTATTTGATATATTGAGTCTCACTTTCAATGATCTGAGGGTCTTTCTTAATTACTCTGGTCAAAGTGGTGAGCCCTGGTTCAGCTTCAAGCAAAAAGAGAAGTCAGAAATGTCAGTGACACAAATATCTGAGCAAAACTTAACTCACATCATATCATCATTTGATTTATTAGGTCTTACTTTCAACAACCTGGACCCCTGGTTTGATTACTTTAGTTATAGTGGTGATCCCCGGTCCACCTTTGAGAACAGGGAGACATGAGAACAATAGATGAACAAAGCTCTGGTTCAAAGTCAAACCAGCCCTAAGCCAAATCAGTGAGTAATAGTCAATAATGAAAGCCTTAATCTGACTTTAGCTGTGCTGCTTAAAGGTTCTAAAACTGATTCTTTCTTTTAGCTGAATCATAAGTGCCATCTTGCCAAGAATGAATCAAAACCATAGAGTATGGACTTAAATCAAGAACATCTGCAATAGAGCCATGTGTGTGAGCCATGGGAAAACCAACGGGGCTTTATTCTGTTACGTAACTAGAGATTGTAATCCATGGGCATAAAATTAGATGGACAAAAAAACATTAAACATTACTAAACAAGGACGAATCACCACGTTCACAGCTGCTCTCAATAAAAATGTCAAGCTCTTTAGGAAGCTACAAAAGAGAGATCCCAAAGCCCTTCAAAATCATAAATCAAATTAATGTTTGAATCAATGGCATAAAAAACAGTACAGAAAAGAACATGATCATTGCATATGCCAAGGATTATGGGTAAAAGTGTTTGGCAGAAGAGAAAGATATATCTGAAAAAATGTGTGCTAAAGGGGAAGATTTAAGAACAGTCTCTTGGATCAAATGTAAATGGCTCCCCAATTCAATGTCAATGAGTTTGATCAATCTTTATATACAATTGTATCCAAGTCAGTGTTGTTGTTGTCAACTAAAACTATTGAAACTGGTTTTCATTAACTGAAATAAAGCTGAAATAAAATAAACTATAAATGAATTAGATGAAGCTTAAAATTAAAAAAACTTGAGTGAAAATTTTAAATGCCTTTGCAACAATCTAAAATAAAATAAGTTAAAAGCACTAAAACCGAAATAAAAATAAAAAGCTAAACTAAAATAGAAAAGCACATAACAAAATTACTAAAACTTAAACTAAATTAAAATGAATTTCAAATTTAAAAAATACTTTAATAATATATAAATAATATTAAAATAACACTAAAATAGAGTATACAATGCAGTAAATGTCAGATAAAGGACATATTTTTTATCATTTCAGCAGCAGTGAGGCTTGGATATAGGCATTTATTGTTAATATGTCAACTATAACTCTCTTGGACCAACCTCCCTGAGTGATTGCATCAGTGATTTGTTTGATATCTTCCTCCTGGAGGATGCGTACGTCACCACCTTGAAACGTCTGCACCTTGGTTATATCTACAACACATGGACACACAAGGTTTTAATGTTTTATCAGACAGAATATCAAAAACTACTTTGTTTATAGCCATTCAGAACTAAACTGTATTGGTAACTTGTCTATTTTCTTTTGAGAACAGACTTGAACATGCTGAGTGTCTCTTTCTAATCCAGTTCTTACTGTTCTAGAATCAGTTTTCAAATGTTTGATAAAAACAATGGACATTTTAACCCTTGGCAGCTTGGACAAATAATTATGTATATAGTAATCCACTATACAATTTATAACTACAAAACCAAATCAAGCTGTTAAAATTAATGACCTTCACCCATGAGTCTCTTGATCTCTCCCTCAGTGTCAATTTCACCATCAGATGATGCACTGTGAGCTGAGCAAAAAAGCAATAAATAAATAACAAGTTACAAAAAAAAAAACTGTGGCATGTTATTTTAAAATTAACCTTGCTACTTAAAGGAATGGTTCACCCAACAATGAAAATCACTTGCTCACCAATGGATTCTCTGCAGTGAATGGGTGCTGTCAGAATGAGGGTTCAAACTGCTGATATAAACATAATGATCCACATGACTCCAGTCCATCAATTAATGTATTGTGAAGTAAAAAGCTGTGTGATTGTAAGAAACAAATCCATCATTAAGACTTTTTAACTTCGGTCACTTCTGTCCAAAATACAGTCCATAAAAGTGCTATATAATAATTATTCGGTGAAAAGTCCATCCTCTGTTGTCCTCTCATATCAAAATCCACCAGTTTAGAACTGTTTTGGACTGATTTCAGTTGCAAATGGTGGATATTTCTGAGCATATTTCTCTCCTGATTCAGACAAGACATCTTTTTCCACTAGAGAAAGTATGGACAGAGATTTAATGATGAATTTGTTTATTACAAACATTCAGCTTTTCACTTCACAAGACGTGAATTAATAGACTGGAGTCGTGTTGATTATTTTTGGATTTCTTTTGTGATGTTTTAATCACAAAACTGTTTTTATTCTCACTCTGATGGCACTCATTTATGTGTAGAAGATCCTTTGTGGAGCAACTGATCTAATGCTAAATTTCTCCAAATTTGTTCCAATGAAGCAACACCCTCAGGCCATCCATGAAGTGAATGAGTTTGAATAAATTTTCAGCCAATTTTCATATTTGAGTGAACTTTTCCTTTCATTTAATCAAGTTGGTATACAAACTTTCAGTGAGCCTTGTGATCTTTGTAACGGATGGCTTCCCTTCAATAACTTTGGTGATGCCTGGATCTCTTTCAGTCACTTGTGTAACTTTGGTGATGCTCGGATCTCCACCAATCACTCGTGTAACTTTGGTGACGCTTGGATCTCTTTCAGTCACTTGTGTAACTTTGGTGACACTCGGATCTCCACCAATCACTTGTGTAACTTTGGTGACACTCGGATCTCTTTCAGTCACTTGTGTAACTTTGGTGATGCTCGGCTCTCCACCAATCACTCGCGTAACTTTGGTGATGCTTGGATCTCTTTCAGTCACTTGTGTAACTTTGGTGACACTCGGATCTCCACCAATCACTCGTGTAACTTTGGTGACACTCGGATCTTCACCATTCACTCGTGTAACTTTGGTGACGCTTGGATCTCTTTCAGTCACTTGTATAACTTTGGTGACACTCGGATCTCCACCAATCACTCGTGTAACTTTGGGGATGCTTGGATCTCTTTCAGTCACTTGTGTAACTTTGGTGACACTCGGATCTCCACCATTCACTTGTGTAACTTTGGTGACGCTTGGATCTCTTTCAGTCACTTGTGTAACTTTGGTGACACTCGGATCTCCACCAATCACTCGCGTAACTTTGGTGACGCTTGGATCTCTTTCAGTCACTTGTGTAACTTTGGTGACACTCGGATCTCCACCAATCACTCGTGTAACTTTGGTGACGCTTGGACCTCTTTCAGTCACTTGTGTAACTTTGGTGACTCTCAGATCTCCACCAATCACGCGTGTAACTTTGGTGATGCTTGGTTCTCCAATCACCACCTTGACTTCGGGACCTGAGGGAAAGGTAAAGATCCCGTCAGGAGGCATGTCAAGACCATGACATTTCCAATAATCAGTATTTGTGAGAAATAAATTATTTAGAGACATTTTTCTTTTCTTTGCATAAATATGGCTGTCTTTTTAGGTACTATTATGCTGATTAAATTAGAGTTAGTTTTACTTCCAATGTTTTTGAATGTCTGTTGTGCCATTTCTCCTTGCTGCTTTTACTGATATGAATCACAAGTAAATGATCAAAGATGAGAATGGGAGTCTAAACCAATCATTAATAGTCACTGGTGCTGTCAGAACTGTTAATGAACACCAGGCCGGCCTTTCTTTGTAGACAAGAGGTGCCCTTGAGCAAGGCACCGAACCCCCAACTGCTCCCCGGGCGCCGCAGCATAAATGGCTGCCCACTGCTCCGGGTGTGTGTTCACGGTTTGTGTGTGTTCACTGCTGTGTGTGTGCACTTAGGATGGGATAAATGCAGACCACTAATTCCTAGTATGGGTCACCATACTTGGCCACATGTCATGTCACTCACTCACTCAATGCAACGGGGCTCACGCTTCATGCTACTGCTGGATTCATAAAACATAAATTAGTATATTCTGCCAAAGATGAGCTGAGACAACTGGCTGCGGATCAGGATCGTGAGGTTTTTGATTGCAGGCTCAGCTCAAAAGGTACTTTGTGTTTTATGATGGAATTCAAACACAGTGTGAACAGAATGTATATAAGAAACAACTGTACAAAATAAAAGATAACATTACAGACAATAAGCCAAACTAGGGATCGAAGAAGTAGGTAACTGCAATTGAATCATTTTTGTTTAGTTCATAGGTACTGATAATGCTAATAATTAAAACAGTTGAGCTATTTTTTTGTGGAAACTGATTTTTTGGGGGGATTCTTTGATATAGACAGAAATTTTGAAAGAGCAGCATATATCTGAAATAGTAATCTTTTCTAACATTATTAATGTCATTGCTGTCTTTTTAAAAATCATTTTAATGTGTACCTGCAGAATATCAAGAATTAATTTCTTTAAAAAAATATCCTCAAACTTCTGAATGGTTATTATACACACACACACACACACACACACACACACACACACACACACACACACACACACACAC